AATCTACCTCTCCGGCACATAGATGGCTTGAAGGGTCGTATCCAGGATGATCCTTATCCTCCACCCAAGGCTCCTCCTTCAGTATGGCCTAAGGATTTCTCCGAGGTGGTCTCCATTGCAATCCGAGAACAACGAGTACGCCCAAGGATGCTGAAGATGTCAGCGGAGCAATGGAAGGAGCACGTAAGGAAGGGACACTTGCCTTTTCGATCCGATTGTATGACCTGCGTGGCAGCCGGGGCTACTGGACGAAGACATGCTCGGGTTGAGCATCCCACTTGCTTCGTTCTGTCGGCAGATGTGAGTGGACCTCTCAAAGTCCCGGGTTTGGACGCAGATGCACGAGGTGCCTTCCCAAAGCCCCACAAGTATATGTTCGTGGCTAAGCTGAAGATTCCAAGGACGTTTGTGGATGATGGGAGAGGCTCCGCTGTCGAGTATGATCCGGGTGAGTTGGAGGTTAGTGTGCCACCGGAGGAGGATTCCTTCGACTATGAGGACCCTGAGCCTGCTAGCGGAGTGGGAGCTGTTCCAGGAGGGCAAGAAGACGACGAAGCAGCTGATGAAGATAGCGGAGAAGATCAGCCAAGGAAGCGCGGCGAACATGACGATGAACTGGACGTTACAGGCCCAGACACAGTGAACCTCCTGTTTGCTACGGCGCTTCAGGACAATAAGGGTGCGACGGTCTTAGAGGCGATCCAGGATGTGGTTATGTATTGCTGGAGTTTGAACATACCGATTGTGCGCTTTCACTGTGATCGTGGAATGGAGTTCTATGCCAAGGCGACGAGACAATGGATCAAATACCACGGGATGAGGTTTACTACCAGTGAAGGAGGTCTACACCAGCAGAATGGTATGGTTGAAAATGCAGTGAGGTATGTCAAGCAGCGGGCCAGAACTTTGCTAATAGGAGCGAAGCTTCCGCAGAGACTATGGCCACAAGCAGTTGGGATGGCGGTGTCTATGCAAAGGGCTTCGGTTCTGGGCATGGAAACTCGTCTAGCTGCACCATTTGGTGCCAAGGTGCTCGTGCGGAGGAGGGAGTATGGTGGAGCCGCGGAGCCAGGGAAGCCTGATGATCTAGCGCCAAGATGGTTGGAAGGTAGATACCTGGGTCTTTCGGAAACAGTTCGTCGAGGTCACGTGGTGTATTTGTCTGGGGATGATGGGGAAAAGTTTGTACATACTGTGAATGTGAGGGTAGGCCTTGAAGATCAACCGGGGCCTGAACTGGATGTGGAAGCTGATCTACCTGGACCCCCTAGCAGGAGACTTCGTGGCAAGGCGAGTGGCAGTGGAGATGTGGTTGCAGTCTCAAAGGCACAAGTGGTAGTTGGAAGCGAGGACCTGGAGAAAAGGGCCAGGAAATTGCTGGAGGATTGGTCGCAGGAGGAGGCTGAGGAGTTGATGGTTCAGATTGCTTTGAGTTTGAGTCCTGCGGAAAGGGTCTATGGGGTTTTCCGACATGGAGGGCGCGTGGGTTTGACCAAGGCAACCTATGATCGTCCGTGGATAGCAAGAGTTTTCGTGAAGGCTTTGAGACAAAGGTGTCTGGAGGCTGAGTTTACGGCTTTGTACCTTTCTGTGAACACTACACGAGAAATTCATGTGGATTGCAACAATCTTACTGGAATGCAGAACTATGTCTACCCGATTGCAATGCCACCCCGAGGAGGAGATCTGTGGATGGAGCTTCGTGATGGTGATGTTGTTCAAGGAAAAATAATCGAGATGATGGACCAGAACAAGAAGCCTAGGTTTGGATGCATACAACCGCTTACAAGTGGAACTGTTATCTCGTTCAATCCTCATCGTCGACATGCGGTGTTGCCGTGGAAAGGCATGAGGGTGGTGGTAGTTGGTTACACACCGGGAGTACCACAGAACCTCTCAGGACCAGAACGAGCAGTGCTGGCAGAGCTTGGTTTCCCAATTCCAGCTGAGGTTGAAATGACGTCGCCAATGGTCGCTCTTCGGGTTTTTTCAGTGTCACAGATAAAGTATGAGAGCACTGTCCAGGAGGAGAAGGCCGTTGTGGATGAGGAGAACAGTGTGTTGGTGTCGGATGGCTCAACGCTCCATGAGAGAGGTGTGGAAAGCCTTCAGGATTGGGATGAGAGCTGGCAATGCCAAGTACAAGGGGCAGAGGAGTTAGAGCATTGGGATATGTTTCTACCACTTGAGGATGGTGACCCCAGGCAAGTTCCCAAAGTTCTGATTGCTTCGTGTGATGGAGTTCCAGTGCTGGCAAAGACGGAAGTCACTTATACAGCTGGGATTGAAGAACTTCTTCATTCACTGAAGTCTCCGTTGACAGTGGTGCACAATGTTGATCCGTCCGAGGCAGCTTCTTCCTTTTCCGAGTGGGTCAAGCCAGCAATGAAGGAGATTTCTTCCTTTGACAAGGCTGCAAAGAAGGTTCGGGGCAGCGATCCTCAAGTCGCTGCAGACCTGAAGAGCGGGAAAGCAAAGATCGTTCCGATGAAGATGGTTTACACTGTGAAGCCACCGTCCGAAGAGGCTGTGAGTGAAGGCCAGTTGTACCGTCGCAAGGTCAGAATCGTGGCGTGTGGTAACATGATGGCAGACAGTGGTGAAGAGACATATGCGGGAGCAGCTCCAGCGGAGGTGGTTCGGTCGTCGTTGTCGGTGGCTAGTATGTATGGATGGGATGCTGCTGTTCTTGACGTGACGGCTGCTTTTCTACAGACTCCGTTGAACGAGGTGCAGTGCAAACAAAGAATCCTTGGGCAGCCTCCAAGGGCACTGGTTAGAGCTGGTCTTTGTCATGAACAAGAATTATGGGAGTTCACTCATGCTGTTTATGGACTCCGCGAATCACCGCGATGGTGGGGTGAGTTCAGGGATGCGAAGATGGCTCAGCTCAACATTGTGGTTGGAGCACGGAGAATAAAGCTACTCCAGTGTCGAGTCGAAGGAAGTTGGTGGAGACTCGTTGAAGACTCTGCGCTGGT